TCCTCTGGGCAGGAAGCTGTTCTAAGACGTAAATGGTGCTGATAAATTTTCTGTGTGTCATGGTGGCCTTTTGATGAAGCGTGCTGTAATGAGTCATCCCAAACCTACTAGCATCAGGAACAAGTGGGAAAGTCTCCATTTGGACTCAAGGCCAAATCAGGGACCCGGAAGTGACATCTTAACTTTCCCAGAGGGGTTGGTGGGATATTCTAATACGTACTCTTTTGTGTGTGAGGCTTCCTTTTGAAGGCATTGCTGGAAATGTGTTGCAATCAGAATTTCCCAGTCTTATTGTTTTCGGGGGGAACAGGATTCAAGTCTTCGGTGTGCTATTCACAGCTGCTCCTTGATGCGCATCCACTAACAGTGTTGGTTTGCTTGTGGCTACAGCTTTTATTTTGCAGAATAAATTGCTGTTTGTGTTTAATACTTGGGCTCAGTTTTCTTGCAGCTTTGGTCAGAGACCTGGTGATTAGTTTTCAGCCAGTTTGACTGTCCTGATCCAGCGCAGGAACTTGGCCATCGCAGATGCTTGCTAAATGCCTGCTGGCTGGACCCGATTTGAAAAACACTGAGACCTTAAGTTCCGACAGGAAGCTGTCCCAAGAGGCCGCTAGCTGTGCTGCTAGGAAACAGCCGCAATTTTTCCACGTCCTTGGTTGCTTGTTCTCAGCATACAGAGTGTTGGAAACTACCTTGAGCTGATGTTTGGTGCTGATTTCGTCCGTCCTGTTCTTGTTTTAGGCAAATTGGGTCTGTGATAGCAACTTGACTGACCGAGACGTTTCAGATGTTTTGCCGTTTAGGGGAATGTGGCTCCTTGGGGATCTTGGCTGAATCGCTTTGCCTAACAAGGCAGGTTGTGTGTTACCTTGTAGCATGCCAGGTTTCACTTGGTTGGATCGCTGAAGCAGAGAGGGGTGCCCTTCGGACACCAGGATTCCTAAGGAAACCAGGAAGTTAGAGCTGCTGAGCAGAAGCCTGAGGTTGGCACAGAGTGTGTGGAGGGTAATCATTCGGGCGGGCTGGGGCTGTTTACTCTGCGCACCTAAGGCTGGTGGACACTGGGCGTGGTGGGCGTGCTTGCCTAAGTACCTGTTTGTAGAACAGTGAGACAGATGGGCAGAGTAAAACAGCAGTAATCTGAAACCAGTCCTGTTGGTCACCCACTCCCCACCCCCAGCCTTAGCAGCTGAAATCTGCATTCCAGATGAAACCTGCAGGGAAACGGAAGAAAGCATTAAAACAAAAACAAAAAACCTTCAAGAGCAGTAATTTACTGCTTTTGGGAGTTCTGGGCATTTTGAGATCATCTATTCCTTTACTTGCATTTCTTTGCTTTGGGTTTTGTAAGTGACGGTTGATCCGTGTGTGCTGCTAGGTTTTTAGGAAGCACAGGCTTCCGACCAAAATTTAGATGGCAAGAGGGAGCTTCTCAAAAGCGTTTCCGTCAATTTCTGCTGATTCACTTTTGAATTTCTTGGGCTGCTGGGTGAGGAGGGGCGGGGGTTGGGGGGTCAAGGGCTGTCAGGATCTGCTTGCCGGCTCAGCACGTTCTGGAGCCTCCCTTGCTCACCAATGAGGAAGTTGAAAGCTACAGGGAGGCTCTGGGGCGGAGCTCACAGTGAAGTCCTGGGCTGGGATGACTGGGGGCAGGCTGACTTTCCCTACGACAAAAACCCTTTTGTCCGCGGAAATAAATACGGAAGTCCCAGAGGAGCAGCCTCCCCAGTTCGTGTGTAGTAAGGTGTGCAGCCTCTGCTGCGTCTGGGCAGAAAGCTCCACGGGCTTCTCACAGCTGGCCCTGGGCGTTCCATCCTCACACACACCCTGGAAGGAGGGCCCAGCAAGTGACCTGAAAGAGACCAAACGTGCTTGCTCCGCGGCGGAGAGGCTGCCGGGTCCTGTTGCTCCCTGTCCTGTAAGTTCAAAGCCGATGGTGTGGATAAACTGAGGGAGCAGGGAAAAGTGACAGAAGTCAGAACGTGCACGGAGGGCATTGCCCAGACATGGAGGACGCTGGAGACACTCTGAATGGCAGTGATGATGTCTCGGAACCAGAAAAACCTGAAGCCAGACTTGAAGTGGCTCAGTCAATCCTGAGCAAGTTCTCTATGAAAACTTTGTTTGGGTTTACAAGTAAGTTGGACTCTGTGAAGACCGACGAGGAAGCCGCAGTGCTGAAGGCATTCCACCGTTTACCTCAGCTGGGTGATCCCAGCAAGGGCTCGGAGCAGCAGCCGGAGGCACAGGCGCAGGTTCCACATGACCTTGGAAATGATAGCAAGACTGCAGGGGTGGAGACTGAGTCAGAGGGAAGTCAGGGAATAGAAGAGGCAGGGATTTCTCTTCCTGGTCAAGAGCCACTTCCCCTCAGTGCTCAGAGTGTGAACAGAGACGATGTCATTTTGGTTCGTGGGACTCTTGTGAACACCACCAGCGATTCCGACTCTGATGATGGTGGCCAGCAGCCAGAAGAGGGGAGCCACGCCAGCCGCCCACAGTCCCCCAGTGTTTTATCTGAGCCATCTCAGGATCCTAAAGAAAAGCCACGAGATTGTAGGGAAAATAGCACCACTGGGGAAAGGGATGATGCAGAGCTCTGTGCAGAAGGGCCTCAAAGGACTCCACCTGACATAAGTAGCAAATCGCAACCTGACAATGGTGGCCTCCAGACAGAGCGCGGCTCCACACAAGGACAAGCTGCCGAAGAAAGATCCCCAGTCCTCCCCGTGGTAACAGACCAGAATGTGAGTGTCGGTGTCACCGAGGATGCCTCGTCTAAAAAAGAAGTCACCGGAGAGAAGTCGTTCCAGCTTCCAGCCTTTTTCAGTGGGCTTCGTGTGCTGAAGAAGGGGGCCACAGGTGAGGGAGGGAAGACCATCACTGAAATTAAACCAAAGGATGGCGACCTGGCTTTGCTCAAATTGACACAGCCCGTTCAGAAGTCCTTAGGTCAGGCAGGGCCTCAGACTGTGAAGGCTGGGGAGAAGACAACGGACTCGAAGGCCACTCCCACTCTCCTGGAGCAGCTCTCTCAGCTGTTTGTCCTTGACATGCCCAAAGCAGAGGTGAAGGCAGAAGATCCTGAGCAGCCCAGGAAGGAGGAGATGGGCTGCAGTGCTACCCAGGAGAGCCAGGGTGGCCCCAGCGGAGCCCAGACCCAGGGTGGAGAGGTTAAGCCAAAGCCTCCAGAGACCGCCCTTGAGGCCTTTAAAGCCATATTTGTCCGTCCCCCCAAAAGGGGGACCACAGCTGACACGTCTGAGCTGGAAGCCCTCAAGCGCAAGATGAAGCATGAGAAGGAGTCCCTAAGAGCTGTGTTTGAAAGATCAAGGTCAAGGCCGGGTGATGGCCCCTCTGAGTCCAAAAGCGTATGTAGCATTGGGTTTGGGGTTTTGTCGTAAGATGCAATGCTGCTGTATTTCTTTTTCAGCTTTCCTGTCAAAGTGAGTCCCAGTTACCTGTTGTTAGTGAATCTTTTCTAGGTGAAAGGGGATTACGATCAAATCGCCCTTGCAAGGAGCATGGAGTTAAACTAGGGAATTCTGTCTTTCTTTTATTTTTCTGGAGGGTCCTAAGAGGGATATACATAAAGATGTGTGGGCAGAAAGGGGAAACTGTCACTCTGAGTTTAAGCATTAATAGTAGATGTTCTTTTCTTTTTTAAGATATTATTTATTTATTTGAGAGAGAGAGAACGTGAGAGAACACAAGCGGTGGAGAGGGAGAAGCAGGCTGCCTGCTGAGCAGGGAGCCCAAACCGGGGCTCAATCCCAGGACCCTGCAATCATGACCTGAGCTGAAGGCAGATGCTTTACTGACTGAGCCACCCAGGCACCCCAATAGTAGATGTTCTTATTAAAAATAAAGCAGCACGAGGAAGTGATGCTGTAGAGAGAGCCCGCATTTCCTCATCTCTTAGTTAGACCTCTGCAAAAACTCTGTTTTAACTGTGAAAGTCTGCCATTTGGCAAAATATGTGTTTGTGATATGATTAAAATGTTCCATGTTTGTTACAAGGCATTCTGGTCACTGGGTTTAATCATTTAATTCTAACTTACCAGTTACTGGTCGGGTGACCTCAATCACCCAGAGCCTCCATCCCTGCATCCGGCAAGATGAAGAAAATAACCCTTACCTTACGCAGTAGTCGTGAAGAGAGTGAAGTTAGCCCATGGTAACCATCTAATTAGTGAGCTAGTGTTACTATTAAGGAGATTAATTCAGGTAATCTATAAAGATTAGCAAACCCCTGTCCAGTAGATCTTAAATGTTCATAAGAACAATAGAATTTTAGTATCTCCTCAGTCTTGAATTTTCATTCCCTCTTTTATAGTTGATCACTTGAAGCAATAAAAATTTAAAAATCTTTTGGAAACATTCTTAGGATGTAGTTGAAAATTGAACACAATATGGCATTCTCCAAGTAGTAAAAATCAGCCTCTATAAAAATGGCTTCAATATGAAGGCCATGTCATTTATTTAAAGAAGAGAAAAAGGAATTGAAATCAGCAATGTTGAGGGCTTAGAGAAATATTTCTTGACCCACATACAGCTGGTGTTTATGGAAAATGCAGAGCTAGTCTTTGTATTATAAAATACCCTGGAGTGGTTTGGGATACATGTATAATCATCCCTATAAATGTACCTATGTACAGTGCATGTATAACTGTATCTTCAGTTCGATGTTGGTGATTTAAAAAAAAGTTATATGATAAATATCATCTATTAATGTTTGTATCATACTTGGCCTTGAGGTTTTTGTTTGTTTGGTTTTGTTTTGTTTTTTTGTTGTTTTTTCCACCCTCACTGATCACTTTACCTTTCTGGAAAAGGGTCACTCTGTAGGGAGATGTTTCAATTATAGTGAAGGAGCACAACATGCAACTAGCCATCTAAATTAATTTTGGAGTTAGAGGCAGCATGTCTTCAGGGGTTAATTCGCTGTGGCCACATTTCATATAACATGTCCTTTTCTTTACCTGCTTTTTCAACAGCCTGACCACAGCCCTACTGAGCAGGACGATAGGACTCCGGGCAGACTCCAAGCTGTCTGGCCACCCCCAAAGACAAAAGACACAGAAGAAAAAGTGGGATTGAAGTACACCGAAGCAGGTAATGTGAAAAGAAGCCGGGTACCCGTGGAATGAATCCTTCACCGCCGTGGCTTTTAGTGCTAGTTCGGTCCTCCCAGAATTTGAGTTTTTGTTTCCCTGCAAAATGTAAGCCTGAAGGCTTTTCTTTTTGGTTGCGCTGTTCAAGGGAACATTTGCACAGTTATCATTACTGCATCTCTTCGAGATGAAAGGTGAAGGCCAGGGAATGAATGAAGGGCAGCCTGTGTGGAAAGCAGGAGAACCTTTGGGGAGCCAGCAGAGCAGGTAGATTTCACATTCCTCAGGAAGCAGGTGGTGGGCCCTCATATGTTGGGAGCTGGCAGGGTTGCTCAAAGAGGCCTGGTATGCGCCTCCAGAGCTGCAATCCGATTTGTCTCCCTTTGAAAACGCCTTCAAACTCCAGGAACCTCTTGTGGAGTGAATGTACAGAGACTGTATCAGTTACTTTTTCCCTTTGGTGAGACAAAGCTTTACTTAATGCATGGCCAATTTTAAAGCAACCCAACTTTCTGGAAACCTTCCCGGGAACTTTGCTTGAATATATTAAAATGAAATGGGCCATGTAGATATGTTTACTCTAACTGAAAAGTTCACAAGAAATTAAAAAAAAAAACAAAACAGGAATTAGAGGACGGTGTATCTTAAATGAATAGATGTGTTTGTGCATCTCTGGTGAAGGGTCTTTGTCTTCTTCCTGAGATTGGAAGATTACCTACGCAGGCTTCTATTTTTTCCGTTTGTCTTAGGGTGTGTGTGTATATGAGGATCCGTCTTTCCATCAGAGAGAAAAATGCTTTCCGTTCCTATTCACTGATAGACGTAAATGGATCAAATTAGGGGTGGGTTAGTAATTCGTGGTTTTTCTGCAGTATTGTAAGTTACTTCAGTGACTGAGAACACTGATGCATTTTGAGTTGGCAAATGAATCCTCAGTTTACAGCCTGATGGCTTTTAGCCTCCATTTACCCAACTGCAGATTTCTGACTATCCCCAGATATCAGCTACTCCATAGCATATTTTTTTCTACAGTGTTTGATTTCTAGAATGAAAAGTATCTTGGCTTTAGTGAAAAAAACCATATATATATATATATATATATATATATATATATATATATATATATATATATATATGTATCTGTTCCAGTCTTCTTACCTACAGTTGATTTTTCCTAAATTGTAGTGCTTGTGGTTACAGTCAATGAACCAGCCACCAAATTCTTTGTCATGATCTGGCACAGTTTGCACACTTAAAAGTACTGAAGTTTGCTTTAATGAAAAACCACAATCCTTGTGTGTTTCTTATTCCTAGTTAATAATGGTGCTCCAAGTCCTGTTCCTATCAGTAGATCATGGCAGTCTTCCTTGTCATGATGAGCATTTGCTGAGTAGAGAATTTAACTCAATACCATAAATGGTTTTTCAATCCACTTCAAGTAGTATTTGGGGGGTATTTATATCTCTGCAGAGTTTCCTTAGTCCATTTCCAGAAGCTCAGAGGAACACTGTGGTTGACCTCATCTGTGGCTTTCCCAGTCTTTGCTTGTCATGATCTGTATTCTCAGAGCTTTCTAAGGTCTTGGATGAGATGGGGGGAGGGCAGGACAGATAACGATAGGGCTGCTGGGTGAGCTGTGATAGCACAGTGACGGAGAGGGCTGACTGTGGTCTGAGGAAGACCTCCAAGTCCTCACCCAGTTCCCACAGTGGCAACATTTCCTTACTACACTCCCAGGCTGGTGCTCAGTTCCTGAGAGCCTTCTAGGAGCTGCTATCCTCTTGGTGGGTATCAAATAAGAATAAGATGCCACTGTGCCTGAAGTAAACTTATTTTTACCCCATCACTTGATACCAGTGTAGGGTTGCCCTATCATTTATTGCTAATTTTGAGGAAGTTAACACTTTCCTTGTGATTTTCTTAAGCTTTTGTTGAGAAAACTGTTGGTTTATTATTTCAAGCATTTTGTGATATTTCCATTGGTTTCCCTGCCTTTAGGGAGACATACGAAATTTGCCACTTTGAAGAGAGCACAGAGACAGTGAAATTAGTTGAGACCTATTTCAAGGTGTTTGAAGTCTTGGGCTTTTACATCCACAATGCTCTTTATTTTTTCCTAGGGTATACAAGAATCTAGCGTTCATATTTCAAGTGTGTTGTTGGAGTTCTGTATCAGTGTTTAAGCTCAGTCCTTGGCAGAGCAGGGAACGAGATTGTCTTTGTCTTCAGGAGTCCCCTGGTGTCCTTGTGCTGCCCTCAGCCACTTCAGATTTGCCACTGCTTGGAGTTTCCTTTATACACAGTTTGTCATTCAGCACTTTTTTTTTTTTTAATTTTTCCCCCTGAGGGCTTATGAGATCACCCAATACTATAAACTCATCCTTTTTGTTTACAGATAAAAAGAAAGCTGATATCAGAGAACCTGTCCCTTTAAACTAAGGCTTCCAAAGTTCTCTTAGTCATGCGAGGGTAACTGCCCGCTGCTGCTGGTGCCCACTGCTAAGGAGGCTCTCTGTGCCACTTCCAAAGCATCAGCAGCATCTGTAGCTGCTGACATGGTAACGGCCTCCCTTGGCAGGTAAATCCTTTGGCCCTCCAGAGTTTCAGTGCCATTCTGATCACTCTGTGTTCACATGAAGATAGGAGCTCTTGGGACTTTGGTGATGTGTCAGCCGAGTGAATCACCAGCCCCCATCAGAGCCATTGTGCACAGGACTTGTTGGTGCTGAAGTTGACCTCTTCTCCTCAGTAAAGGGCCCCAGTGTTAATTCGCTGAGCCTGAACTTCTCTCCTTAAATGAGAGTGCATTACTCTCTCCCGTCTCTTGTGCTCTGCTTTCTTACACTCTTATCTGTGCGATTCTGCTTTGTGTTTGGGATGCCTCACAATAATTTGGAGGGAAAAGAGCACTACCCCTCTCTCCAGTCCTGGGGAATGAGATTGGAACAATCCATTTGACAGACCTCATATTCTTCTCAGAATTGTCTTTTCCTTCCCTGGGTGTAGGAGTTGGCTCTTGAAACAACCTTGTGGGATGATCTTGTTTTTTTAAAGAGGAATCTCTTTCAGTGGCCTTCTCATATCCTTAAATGGTTAATCAACTTCTGTTGAGTCCGGCCCCTTTACTGCTGCAAGACCAGAAACATCTGGATGCAGTAAACTTGATTAGCTTTTGAAGCTTGGGGCAAAGTAAAACTCCATCACAGCAAAGTGAAATGATGTGTCATGAAACATACAAGGGGGTACCTAAGAAAAATGTCTGCCTTTGTACTGATGACGAAGCAATTCGTCTCGTGATAAGCAGATAACAGGTGGTCTCCCTCTGCTATTTCTCTTCTAATATGCTATTCTGTACATGGCGAGGTGATACAAGTTTTAGAAACTTGCAAAATGAAACCGGAAGGCACAAGAACTTTGGTATCATAGAATCATTGAATCATAGCATTAACACAGGGTTGAACTTCTTTTTATCTCAAACGTGAAAAAAATTATCTAAGCCATATTATGTCACTTTTGTTTTCTTTTTGGTTTGTGAAGGATAACTGCACTTAGCCTTATTTTTTTTTTAAATTACATATATTAATATACCAACCAGGGTGCTTTCAGGAATCAGGTGATGGACTCAAACTGGCTAATCGGACTGAGAGTTATTTAGAACTCTTTCCAAAGGCGTGGGCAGGGTTTAGGGAAAGCACTCAGAGCTGGAGCAACATCTGGCTCTACGGACAGAAACTTTGAAAGCCCTAGACTTAAGGGGCAAGGGTAGGAGAAGCCACTGGGGAAACCCAGAATTTCAGAGGGAGGCTGAGTTGTATAGTGAGGGCCGCCCAGCAGGAGTTGTGGCCCTCAGTAGATGGATGCAGCCGATCCCCAGTGACTTGACAGGAAAGGAGCTGGGAAATAAATAGTCTGACTCTCTTCTTTGTCTTGTCTCCCACCATCGCTCCCATGGCCAAATCCAAAGACAAGTCCAAGGACTGGGAGCCACTCTCTGCCATTCTGTTAGGACAATAGGGCCCCGGAAAGGGAAAGGGTAGATCTGGATTAGCAAACCCAGGATACCCAGCACAGTTACACTCGCAGCAGACTCCATGTCAATGAGGGGCATATGTCTCTCAGTCTGCAAAGAGGATTGGGGTGCATTTAATTCCATCACACCTGACCACACAGGCTTTAACGCAATGGCGTGAGAAAAAGGCCTGTTTTTTATCTTGTGGGAGTTTTATGTCTTCTGCTTTAATGGGTTCATAGGAAATATAGTGGCCATCATTCAGAGCCTTGCTCTGTGAATACCTTTGTCACCTTAATATAGAGAGTTTATTTACTGATCTTAGAAAATTTTCTCTAAGTTTTAAATGTTTCCCTATATTAAAAAATAAAATAATGAATTTTGGAAATAGCCAGAAATATCACAAAGCAAAAGAAACTTCCTGTAATTCTGTTTCATAGGGAAACCATTGCCAACATTTTGAATTATGAAAAGCTTATGTGAGTTGAATACTTAAAAGCTTTTTGATCATCTTGTATAGAGCTGCTTTTCACACTTGAAAATGTGACTGTATTTTTTATTGACTACCTTTTAACCATGATTATATTTATAGAGATTTAGTTTTTCAAGGTATTATAATATAAAAAAGGAAATAACAATTCTGTAATATTTTTGTTCATAAATGTTTAATTAGGATAAATTTCTTATGATGGAATTGCTAAATGAAAGGGTGTAAGCCTTAATGTATTCAATATGTATTAATTGCCAAAGTTAATTTTTATGCAAATATATTCAGTATGAAAACAGTACTTTTTTTTTTAAGATTTATTATTTATTAGAGAGAGCAAGAGAGAGCACAAATGGGGGTTTGGGGTTGTGCCGGGGGAGGGAGAAATAGATTCCCCACTGGTCAGGGAGCCTCACATGGGTCTCAATCCCTGGGCTCTGGGATCGTGACCTGAGCTGAAGGCAGACGCTTAACCAACTAAGCAACCCAGGCACCCTGAAAACAG